AAAGTGTGGCGCCCCCTGGGTGTAGTCTGCTGAAAGGACAGAAGGTGTGATGTCCCCTGCTCTTGAGTCTTTAGTGGTGTATTGTATTGTGATGAGGTGCACCTCTGAGCGGTTATATTGATGCCTCAGCTCTGAGTGCTCACATGTGAAGTGCCTCCAGTGTGATGTGATGGAGGTTATGTCCCACATGAGACCTGTTGAACACAACTTGGGCTCTTACTATTGATCTGTTTGGTTAAAGGACAATAAACTCCACAATAAAAGGCTCGCCTTGTACCATATTCAGTTTGTTTATAATAAGCTCAGCAGTTTCATGACACAATCTGAGGAATAGATTTGGGTGGGTATTTATCACATTATGGGGACTCATTCGTAAAAACAATTCTTGGCTCCATTTAACAAATCAGGTCACTGTGGTGTAAATCTTTGATTAGATCATCAACATGATTAGATTAAAATATTTTAAGATTAGAGAATAAGTAGGCAAGTTGTAACTGGTTAAGTTTCTAGTTACATTGACTTGTCAGTGATATACTTAATTACTTGCACATATAATGCTTTTTCTCACTCACAGCCCTCACTGCACAGACATAGCCCATATGGGGCCCACATACACATATATCTCACATCACAAGAGCTCGTGAGACAAAGTTACCTCATGAGAAAAATTATCTTGTGAGATTTTTTTCCCCATATGCTTATATTTCAATTGTTTGTTTGTTGGTGAGTTACATTTTTGAGAAGCTGTAGTAGCTAAACACAGTACTATAATCACAGCAGAAATATTAAAGTAAATCAAAAATAGTTAGGTCACAATTGTGAATTGAACTGCACAATTTATTTATTATAACTTGTTTGAAAATCTCATCTTGTCTTGTTCTCGTGGACCTAATCTCATGTCTCATCTTGTGGAAAGTGTCGTTCCACTATTCCTCCTATTGGCTGAGTTAGTGGGGGACATGTGAAAGAATGAAATATTAGGAGCTATTAGCAACTTCTAAGCAGCACAAAACAGACTGAGGACTGTACATCTGTGACTGTGAAGATGGAGGCTCTTATAGCAGGTCAGTGGAGCCCGTCCCCATGGCCCCACTCTGTGCTGCATGTTTTATACATCAGTAAACACTCATTAGACTGTCATTATAACATTTACTTCCTGATTTCCATCTCTTTATTGAATTCATGCATATATGTAGATTGCATAGCTGTATATATCTGTATATGTTAAGCTTCGGCTGAGCAGTCCCAGTGGAGATGTTAGCAGCCGCACATGGGACAACCTCTTCGTCCTTGACCCTCTTTCAGCTTTAACTGCCTCTCCTTTAAACCTCAAATTAGCTTTATGTACACGCTCAAGACACTTACAAATGGACCAATAAAATCACACAATGGAAAATGAACTGCATGGAATTACAACTGAACCAGCCATGTATGAAGCATAATAGTGTTTATGCTGACATGTTATTAGGCCTATAAGGTGGTGTACATAACAAGTGAATCATAAAAATGCTTTCCAACACTTAGTACCATTCCACAGATGCCTTATTATTATTTGTTATTTGTTATTATTTGTTATTGTTTCTTCTTGTTTATTTTCTCCACATTAAGTCAATTTGTTTGCCTCCAAAGAAAATTAACCCTTAATGTATTTCTTTGAATCCCGCTTTTTGGATTTTTTTTGTATCACTGTGACTTAAGTGCAGACACTGTTCAGAATGTGTCTTCATTTGTGTTTCTACAGGGGCTTTTGACTTTCATCTGAGACCGATGAGCCCCCGTGTGTCTGTGTAGAGAATTGCAATCACGCAGAAAAGGTGAGACTGTAGTTTCTGTTTGCAACTTACTTCAAGGTGCAGAAAGTCCCTGTGTTAGTGCATATTGTGGAAAAACTGTCCTAAATATTCAGTCAGCCAAAGTCAGTAATCTCCTGATTTAACCCTCTGTCTCGGAGTTAATCTATCAAATCATGCTCCATCTTGTGGACATGTTTGGAATAACCATAATTACTAACATTTGTCTTTTCGATTTTTAAAAATCTTGTCCAATTCACAATACAATAATATTTTGAAACTCTCATTTGTCAGTGGTTAGTGTTGTTACAACTTTTAGAGCTCTATTTACAAACACAGAGTAAAAATTCATTTCATCTAATTATATCCAATACACATACAGGTTGATTTGCATGATTATACTGTAGATTGTCACTGAAGGCCTCACAGCTATGAATGGACATATATGGCTTAACAAAAAAGTGTTAAATAACTTAAATGTTTAAGATTTTTTAGTCTTCAAATACCCACACTTTACTTTGACCACTGCTTTGCACCAGCTGGCACCTGTTAAATGAAAACCATGTCCAGGTCAAGGGTTTGCAGCGTTTTCTTTTGCAGTTAACAAAACAAAGCAATCTGAATCTAAAATCTAAACAATATTTTCAGTTATTTAACATTTCTTTCTCTGATACAAAGTGTTACTAAAATGTAACGTACTAAAATACAAAAAATTCAAACTTGAGTTTGATACTAAGGAATATACTCTAAATTCCGATTATCACTTCCAATACTACAATGATAATTTAAAAAACACACTCTTGCCTTAGAGAATAGAATGTCATTTTCAACATTAAATCTTTTATATTATCATGTGGCCTTATATCTGTGTAATCCGTCAGTGGTCCAGGTAGGTTCCATAGAGCTCCATGTGCTCTTATACTTGTTCTGATACAGTTCAAGATCATTCTAAAGCTATTCAGGAAAGGCCCATTTCTGTTTTGTGAATGTGGCTTTTTAGTATCTATACTTGCTCAGATGAGTATCTAGTTTTGTTACTGGTTTTAGTATTTATTTGTTTCTTATTTTCAAAACTTTTGACAACCCTAATGTTGCATGTTTACATTTTTATTTATTTCATGGTTGATGTAAGTATAATGTAGAAAGTTGTAAATGTAAAGAAAAGAGCATTGAATGATGTTACCTGATAATGTCAAGCTCAATATGCACTGTTCGACCCTGTGATGTTATGAGATGGTACTTTTCTAGTTCAGAGCCACCTTTTACCTTTTGTTCAGTAGAGATAGCAGGGTGGCCACAGGTTCTTTAAAGTCTTAAAAAAGGTCTTAAATTTCATGTTCCTAAGTTAAGGCCTTAAAAAGTCTTAAATTATGTTGTTCAAGTCTTATTTTTTTCACAAAGGTCTTACATTTCATTAGCCTATTTTTTATATACTCAAAACAACATTGTAAAATCATGTAACGTGAATGAACGTCAATTACAATACTTAGTTTTTTTGCGCTGGCGGCAATAAGTAAACAATCATTCAGTACAGTGGAGGAAGACGTTGGATGGATCATGGGGAAGTGTATGTTTAATCCACAGTGGCTCTTAGATTCTAGATATAGTAGTTGGTTGGTCATTATTAGACTTGAATCTGGTGTTTTTCGCTTGCATAATGAGTGCGATGTTGGTCTTAATTGTCATTTAACTGGTCTTATAAAGGGCTTAAAAAAAAAAAGCCTTAGATTTGGGGTGGTCAAACCTGGGGATACCCTGGATAGGCAATTCCAGGGCTGAAATGATCCAAATGATTCTCGTGAAGGTGTATGCAGTTTAAAAACACAGTGGAGCACTTCCTGTTTTACCACATGACATCAGATTGAGGGAAGAACTGGGCCTAAATATGCAGGATTTGTGAGTTAAACGTGTGAATGAAACAAAACACAACTCCACGTATGTTTTTGATGAGGAAACAACATTATAAAAGTGAAAATATTGTAATACAGACCCTTTCACCTGTATTAGTTCCATGTGTTGATGGAACAGCTTTATGCAGCTATCATTAATCTTGTCACACCTGGAATATAATAATAAATAACTTACACAATCTACCTTGACCATCTCTCAGAAAAGTGAAAATAGCTCTGGTCTTTGTCTTTTGTTACAAAGCTAATGACAAGATTACTGACATTTTCTATCTTTCTATAGGGTCGAACCACATCCTGTCGCAAATACTGAAGCACTATAAATGCATAGGTTCTTTTCTCTTTTTTTTTCTAACACAGAGATTGCTATCAACAGTGTCAGGGTGACCTTTTTATCAGATTGAAGGTGATCCCAACCTGCATTACAAGCCTCGAAGTGGGTGGTCCGCGTTGGTTGGGGGCTGGCCGTTTTATTTAGTGTCCACTCCGCCGTCAAGTGCAACAATGACAAATTCACCTTAATGGGACACCTTATTATTAGCCCTGTCGAGTGGTGTATTTCTGGAATGGCCTATTTGCACCTGACTTGGGATCATTTTTGAGCGTCCCCTGCCCCCTGGTGGCCGCTCTTTGCTCCGTCCTTCCAATTTGCCCTCGTCTCCTGGGTTACATCTTCAGCAGCACTGCATACATGTGTGAGAATGAGATGTTTATGACAGGTATTGACGCGTGCGCATGTGTGGTAGATTTAACGTTAATAGCTGCTCACGTATTGACAAGCCACTTATTGATTTATATTCACAGCAGCGGCATCCATTAATAGAGGTGGGAAGGGTGAAATAAATTATCAAACAATTATGAAAGCGCGCGGTTAAGATGGTGTTTTTTTGTGCCTCACCTCTTGTCTTTGCCCCAAGAACAAAACCAGCAATCACCCCCTCCCTGTTTGAAACCTCTCCTTGTGCGTAATGTGTTGCTTACAACGTCAAACTTAAAAGTCCCCGTGCGTAATCAGATTCAGGACAAAGCTATATTGGAGATGTGACTACAAACAACATTTTCTATCAAAAATCACAGTTTGTGGAGCTAAAGAACGACGAAATTCAGTATTTGAAGAGCAAACAGCTTGTAAACGATTTCTTTTATTTCACCTCATTCACAAATATGCGCCTACACAGGAGAGACTTACCATGACTCACTGGTGCGCAATGACACTAAACAGACACGGCGCGCGCTAAATGTCACCACATCCTACCAGCTTGAACAAACGCAGGGTCACCTTGTCTCGGATGTAACGGGGAGAGGGACTCAGAACACCAGCTCGGATTTTCCACCCTCTCTATCCTTCATCCGGAGCGTACCAAAGAGCGCAGCGCCGCGTCCTTCATGACTTAATTTGGTGGACATTTGCGCTTGTTTTTGTGGATTGCACCTGTTCACTTGGGTAAGTACGCTACGTCCACTCATTTCAGCGTTTAGTGAGTCCAAAGTATACGAATAGTTTTATTGTCGTTGGAGATGCTCTAACAGGTGTTTTATAAGCCCTCTGAAAAGCATGTCTGTGGGTGCAGTTCCTCTTGCTTAGTCTAAAATGTTCATCTTGTAACATTTTTTTTTAATATACCCAACAAGCCAAATCAAAATGCTACACTTACTGATGACTTATTGTCTCTGCTATGTTGTCAAATAATTAATTAACCAGTACGTTTGCGTTTTTGGCATGAACTCGCAGCCAAATCAATTCACCTTGAACTGGTTATCGTGGCTTTTTGTCATAGAATCTTATCTTATAGTGAAAAAAACTGAACTATGATGGAAAAAATGTTTTTAAAAATGCATATCTTTTCAGCTGTGTAGTATTTCATATGCCATGCCTGTTTGACCTCCTCAAAATGAACCGTGAATATATTAGGGCACGAAATAATGTTTGCTAATTAAGTGCCATCTCCATATCATCAACCATACATTGTGATTGGTCAGGGCGTGACTGTGTAGCCTAATGCCTTCAAATGTGTTGTTCTAAGGAAGTTTGTGCAATTTTGTGGAGGTATTGTGTCTCGGATAGTTTCAGTCTTGCGTCAAAAATCAACTTACACCTTAACAGTCCAAGGTGTGTGCTCGCATCCATCTGGGTCTTTTGCCCTCCTGTATCTGTTTGTCTTTTGAGTAGTACAGAGACGGATTTTTGTGTTGGGGGAAAATAAAAAGTGAGCAGGCTTTTTGAGGTGAAGACTTTGGCTGGCACAGGGTCTGGGGAGAAGTGATGGCGGCGTCTGCACCCTCCTCTGGCGGCGAACCGGATCCCAACAACTCGACTAATTTACGACCACCGGGCTCAAGTAGGTCTATCACCGATAAAATGCTATTTCACGTGAGCTATTTACTTTGTGGGCAACGCCATTAATCATTTCCATCGCGGGAGGGGGCTGAGAAAACCCGCTGCCATTTGGGGAACGCTTCCTCCGCCACATTTCACCGCTGCATTTCATTCACCACGGACCTCCGGCTACACCGTGACAGACGTACACTTTGTCAACACCGGGTGTCCTCTGCTGACATGCCCCGAAGGCTAAAGCACGACGAGCCATTTACACAGGCGTTCATATTATCAATCATTTTTGACAATTTATTATTATTATTATTATTATTATTATTATTATTATTATTATTATTATTATTATTATTATTGGTATAGGTTTTTTTTTTTTTTTTATTGGCATTTGATTATATTTTTTCCCTTTTCATTATTTCCTCCCTGCTCTATAAATGCACTGTCTGAATAAATTGCCCGCATGGAAAATTTCAAATTGTCCCTGAAGTGGCTGTTGATTCAGCCACATTAAATTGGCCCTAATGGCACACTTAGGCTTTGTGCTGCCTTCTGGAGAAAGAGGAGGAGGACTGTAAAAAGCCTGCAGCTCTCACTGCCCTTTCATTGTCACCAAATGATAAAAATAAGCCTCTCTGCTGTGGAGGACAAATCATAGAAATATTGGATGGGGCGTCTGTTTTATAAGATAGCGCGTAATGTGCGTACGGTTTAATAATTAGGGCATACATGTTGGCTTCATGCTGGGTTTGGGCTACGCTAGAAATAACATGTTTTTCTCAGTCTGCACCCAGACAATGGAGCTTTCTCTTTTTGGGGTAGGCTATCTCTTGGTTCATCTAAGAGCCATAAAAAAAATCCCACTGAATTGCATCCAATGGGCTGAGCAGGCCAATGATTTATCTAATGATCCGGAGCGAGGGTTAAATTGGGATGTGGGACCGGGACTGCCCCTCCTCCCCATCTTGTAGTTGCCCTCCCACCCCATGCTTTCCCTAAATTGCAGCTTTTGTAGGATTTTGTCCCTTGTGTATGGTTTTTGTGTGGCTGCAAGACGACGATAAGGCGCCCATTCTCTATCTGTCAGCGGCCAGACGCACAAGATAGGCCATACTCTCATTTCAAACTAGAATCTTTTCCCCTAATTAGATCCACACAGCAGCGTGTCATCAAACGGATAATTAATTTAGGTCCTTGCAATAGGTCACGAGCAGTGTCAGTACAGTGGAAATAGGCTAATCCATATGGGGCCTTTGGGCGCCGCGTTGAAACTCCCAGTGCTCCTTGGTTATTTTTACTCCATCATGCAATATTGTTCCACCTCACCCAGCTTCTTTCGCTATAATTAAGTTGTCTGATTAGAATGTGGATTGTAATGGCTTTTGTCTTGTTTTGTGGAGCTCTTTAAGTTTTGTTTCCCATTACATCAGGTTATGACGCGTGGTGCGGAGTTGCTCATGGATGCACGAGGAAACTGGGGATGAAGATCTGTGGTAAGTCCATATTAAAGCAAATATTTTCTAAACGTAATTTTTGTCATAATACAAATTACGCTTGTTTTGAGTGTAAAATTATTGTGCATAGCCCAAATATGGCCCTTATTGCGCAAGGGCCCCCAATCAGCGTTGGTCCAATTAATCAACGTAGTGTTTTATTTGTTACTTTTGAAATAACATTTGGTTTTTGTGGAAAATTGATAGTATAAAAAGGGTTTGTTTGAGTGCTCCAATGGCAGAGTGACATGTCGTGAATGTCATGCTCCAGCGAAGCGCACTGTCTTGTACCACATGTTCTTCTCTCATTATTAAGGCCGATAATTGCTTTGAAATTAACGCACAGTCCACAACTCCCCCACTTCCCACGCTCCACAAATACAATAGACTGGTGCTTTTATTTCTTTATCATAATTTTTTGATTGGGCCAAAGGAGGTTTTTGGCTGGATGCACATTTATCACCAGTGCCTGGGAGGCGTTTTCTTTTCGCTACTTGCTGCCTACTGAAGTGCGCACGGCTGAAGCCGCTGGGAAGAATTTACTGCCGCTATGACAATGATTTGTTCGAGCTTGGCTGGAGTTTGGTGCTGATGTCACGGGACTCACCCTCCCATAGAGCCCTCCGCCCATAACTAGTTCAGGATGGGTGGCTTCCCCCGTAGTAGACAGTAGAGGGAGAGAGGAGACAGTTGGAAATGTAGAAGGCCTGCCCACAGTTACTATGTACGGAAATACGTGTAACCTCTCTGCGGATCTGTCTGCCCGCCGCGGCTTAGGTTTCCTGCAGAAGAACAACAGTCTGGAGGAGAGGTCCCGGATCGTGAGCTCCTTCAAAGAGCGGAGCGCCAAGAACCTGCTCTCGTGCGATAACAGCGGCCAGGAGACGCACTTCCGACGCACGGAGACGGACTTCTCCAACCTGTACGCCAGAGGTGAACGAGACGTTTTAAATTATTATTTTGTTTAAAACTTTTATGTGAAAATAATATTATACGTAATATAAATAAAGCATTGCATTTACCAAAACATGCCTGGAGCTGGTTTTATTGTTTGCCGAATAATTCAGCAATGTACAGGGCAAAGGAAAAAAAAGTGTTTTTTATGTGTATATAAATCTGTATTTGTATAGATATTCTTGACATATTTAATTTTATTAAAATAAACATATTTACTTTTCTTTAACACTTGTCCTCAGAACAAAAACAAAGGAAACAAATGGTTCATTTGATCTGTTTGACTTGGGGCAGCTGCATTGTATCACTCTTTTGACTCTTTAGCATATCTTGCTCAGGGGTACGGAAGCAGGCTTTAACCGTTAACACATGCTTTAACATGTCAGTCTTTTCACTTCATTTTTTAGAAATTATAAAAATACATTTAAAAACACATCCATGCTTTTATCTCAGATCTCTTGCCTGCCAAAAATGGAGAAGAGCCGACCATGCAGTTCTTGCTGGAGGTGGTGGACATCCTCACCAACTACATCCGGAAAACCTTTGACCGCTCCACCAAGGTCCTGGATTTCCATCACCCTCACCAGCTGCTGGAGGGCATGGAGGGCTTCAACCTGGAGCTGTCAGACCAGCCTGAGTCCCTGGAGCAGATCCTGGTGGACTGCAGGGACACTCTGAAGTATGGCGTCCGCACAGGTAAGCACTGAGAGCAGCTCCGAGTCACGATCGATAAGAATGATTAACCCCCATGTTAGCGCAGTGATTACGGATTAGGATTCTCACTGATGATTTATGACTCTGTGTGGTCCCTGTGTCTCTCCCAGGCCACCCCAGATTCTTTAACCAGCTGTCTACCGGCTTAGACATTGTGGGTTTGGCTGGGGAGTGGCTCACGTCAACCGCAAACACCAACATGTGAGTATTCTATAGGGGAGCGTGATGTACAGTCTGTCGTGTTATATAACAGAAAAGTGTAAAGCAAAGAAGGGCCATGATCTGTATACCTTTACTCAACTGCACCTTTATGCAAATGTTTATGCCTCAAAATGCAAATTTACCTTCTTAGAATATAATTAAGGTTCAAGTATCATATAAAACATGAAGGAACCATAAAATACACCAGAAAATGGCTGAAATATCACATTCTGTCTCCTTGTTTGGAAGATTACACTAGATGAGTTTGTTAATTTTAAGCCAGCTCTTTTGCTGACAATGTACACAGTATACCAATTTTGCATATCTTGGAAATGACAGTTGCAATGCTTTTCCGATATTTTCTCAAATTGAAAGTAATATTTCAGACAAGCAAGTAAAGCAAGTAAATTGTAGATTCATTATCAGATTCTACACCAGTGAGTCTCAGCTGACTTGTGTTTTCAAATGTCTATTAATTTATTTCAAGCTCAAATTTCATCTTGAATTTTTATTTTTTTATCACTGTAAATTTCTAATAAGTGAAACTATAACGCCCCTCTCTGCTTCATCCACTATTTGGAAAACATGATGCTGTCTTATTTCTTCACACAATTTAATGACAACACAGCATCTTATTATTATATCTGATTTCCTATTTGTTTTTATTGACTAATATTGGATACAGTGCCATTTGCTACATTTCTCAGCTGTGGAAACACTGGTTTAGTTTTCTCTTAAGAGTTTAGAGGCCTCTTATTATTTTGTATGTTTTTTTGTACTATTCATTCTAGACCACAAGCCTACAATAAAGATGTCTATCCATTTAAGACATAGTAAAGCATGCTAACAACACTCCTGTATCTATAAAACCACGTCACCTTCTGATATAAAGGCCATTGTGAGGTGAGAATGAGCATCCAACATAATTACAGTGGCATTTGTCCGGCTACAGTCCCCCACACTGCCTGTCAATCACACAGAGAAAAAAGCCCACAAAGGAAGACATTTGGCCGGCTGCTCCACCGCTGCTCCCCGCTCAATGCTGCTGTCCGCTCGGGCGTGTTCACATAATTCAGCCCGGCGGGGAAACTAAATTGCATATTGATTGGCATTCACAGTTTACACGGTGTCTTTGTTTCATGTTGTGTGAGTTCCTGTGATGTAACAATGGTGGGATGAAAAAAAAAATACAGGATTTGCCTCGAAACCATCTGTATACAACGTGAACAAGCCCCACTGGTTCAATTCAATAGCTTCTCTTTTGTCCTGCAAGGTGGGCATTGTGTAACTTTTCTGGTGGAGGGTGCGTCAAATGCTCTTGTCTGTGGAGATGTTATTGCTTTGTCCGTAATGTTTCACAGTATGGCATTAAACCTTTCCAAGTTAACGGTCAGATCTGTGGAGATATAATAATAATAAATCATAGTAATACCTTTTATTTATATAGTGCTTTTCAGGATGCTCAAAGATGCTTTACAGAGCACATATTAAAACGGTCAAAGGATAATAAATAAAAAGATAAAACAGTGAATCATATTGAGAAACTCATACTGTGGAATATTCCAGGCTGAGTAATCACATATCCATAGAAACAAACAGGAAAAGTTACACACTGCACCTTTCACTGACTCAGTGTGGGTAAAGTACTCTATTGCAGTCTGTCCCCTGCGCCTGTAAAAACATGTTGTGTTCTTGAAACTTGTTGAATCGTCTCCGGAGATGATCTAGAGACTGTTATTTGCATATGGCATATTTCGTTATATCCGGCTGTGCTGGGCAATTACATTTTGCTGCAGGGCCCTCGTTTCTCAATGATAATCACCACTGACCTTTAGCTAACCTTTTAAAGCGTCACCAAATGGGCTCTCACAGTTAATAAACCGCTTAGTGTGAACAACCTAATCAATGGCTGGAAGAGGGGTTCTCAACTGGTGGATGGGACCAAAACGGAGTCACTGTGAATATGGTTTAAACGTCATATATTATGTAAAATTTACTCTTGTGAGCTTTAAGCCATGTTAGAATGTTCCTACCTCCACAAAACCATACCTAGAGTTGTGCTTTGTTTCATTCGCACATATGAGTAATTCTCTATCTATATCTTCAAAACTCAAAATGCCCTGTTCCCCCTTGTGATGCCATGAAGTGGTAGTTTTCAAGTTAGCAGCTACCTTTTACCTTTAATTTAGTTGAGATTTCCAATTCCAGGTTTGAAATTATCCAAATGATTCTAGTGAAGGTATATGGAGTTTAAAAACACAGTGGAGTATTTGCTGTATTATCACGTGACATCACATGGTGGAACAGAGAGTTTTCTGTTTAAGAAAAGAAGCCTAACATGCAGGATTTCCGTGTGACTGAAACAAAACACAACTCCAGGTTTGTTTTTGATGAGGAAATAACATTTTAACATCACCCTGAAAATAGCACAACATGGGCCCTTTAATACTCAACTTAATTAATCAATGTTATGTACTGTTACGGGTGCTATTACTAGATTTGGTAATCCACTATTGACATTTTCAGCTGCTGTGTTGATATAGCACATATTTTTGTTATATTTATTAAACAAAAATATTTGACAATGCTACAATTTTGTTGCTTGTTTAGAGACAGGAAACTTGTTTATGCATTTTAATGCATTTAGTTTTACAGTTTAACAAAGAAATAGCCTTTGTTTTTTTTAAATAGTGATATATTGTATATAATGTACAATATATGAATTATGTATTGTGATATTATTGTATTATGCCATGTATCGTGGATTGGATCGGATCGTTAGGGACTCTGTGATTTCCAGACCTATTTCATGTGCTATAAAATAATGAGCATGAGATAATGAGGTTAACCAATTAATTTCTAATATTAATTTTTTTCTATGAATTTGACTTGGGGTGGTATTTGTCTGCTTCTAATAATAGGATGCCACTGGTTAAGTCTGTCATCTGTAAAATTAATTATAAAACAGAATGTGGAAGAATTACTTTATTGTTTGTTGCTTGTGCGTTTGACATTTACATACTTGATATTCTAATTTGATATATTTTCAAAGCAGGATTTTCAATAATCTCCCTTTTATCCCATAACTCTAAAGTTACATAGGGCACCTTTAATGACTCTCAGTTAAAACTTTTTGGTTGGAGGTCCATCACCCTTTTGTTTCTATGGATATGTCATTGCTTTACCTAGAATGTTCCGCAGTATGGCATTAAACAGTAGGAATGTAACAATAACTGAAAAATATTGTGATATTGTATCGTCAAAAGTCTCTCAATAATATCGAGGGCCTTCACAATATATTGAATTACAAGTCTCTTTGCTTAAATGGATTGTTTTAGTGCAGCAACAGCTAAAAGAATCAGGAAACTACATAGACCATGATCCTTTGCTCTGTTTCAGTCTAATTTACATGATGAAATAACTTATTACGCACTTTTAGATCTTAACTTTTTGGTTTATGACAGAACCAAAGGCTAGTCAAGGCATTTTAAAAAGAAAAAGTAGCATATTCACAATTCTGTTAGCTTCTACAAAATATTGCAATAAATATCATACCGTGACATGTATATCGTGAAAATATCGTACCGAGAAATTTGGATATCGTTACATCTCTATTACTTTACATTTATTCAATTACAAGTGGTTTTATAGCTCAAATATACCTCAAAACAAAACAAAAAACAAACAAACAGGTCTTCTGACTGTGAGCGGACTCGCCTCTCCACAGCTCTAATCTGTATCTTGGTCTGGTTTGGTCTCCATGAAGATAAAAAAGTTTAATACCATTCTGTGAAACATTTCCAGAAAAGCAATATGGAGAAAAGCATTTGACGGACCCTCCACCAGAAAAGTTACACAATGCGTTTTTAAAGTTGTTTGGTCTATACTGTATTGTACAAAGAGTGGACTTGGGATATTTTATTGATCCAGACGGGGTTCCTGTACCACTAAGTTCCTCAGTGGTAACGAACAAAGGTAGAAAACAGTTAAGTCAATCCTCTGCTATACTGTTACAAGCTGCCACTACATCTATTACTGCAGCCCGTCTCCTCTTCAGACGTCTGCCAAAAGCCCGTCTCTCCTCCGCAGTCTTGGTACTACACTGGCATTATCCAGACTGAGCTGAACCAGAGGGTGGAGGTTGCTTACTTGTGTGTAATTTACCTTTATTAATTACCCCATCAGCTTTAATCACCCCTGGCAGATATTGACTGACACTAATAGTGAAACAGTCTCATCCGAGGCTTACATAATGGCCACGAGTGAGTGTTGACTGCATGATTGAATGAGCTACATTGGAAGAGAGGCATCTGTGCTTAGACATCTGACTAGTTTATCTCGAGTGGTGAAGGGAAACTGCTTAAAAGGCCCATATTACGCCATTTTCTGGTCTAGGTTAAAGGGGTGTAATGATATCCAAGTCTCATGATACGATATCACTGTATGAACCTCGCGCTACGATATTTGTTACGATATCTTGGGAAAGCTCACGAAATGGAGGGGAGGCTCACGGTTAGGGATGTTAGGGACGATATTTATGCCATATTTCCACAATATACATCTCACTGTACGATATTTATTGCGATATTTTCTGGAGGCTAACAAAACTGTTAACATGCTATTTTTTTTTAGAATACCTTGACAAGACTTTATCCAAAGAACTAAGACTTAAAAGTGCTTAGAACTGTATTGTTATTTCTTCATGTAGTTTGCACTGAAATGGAGCAAAGGATCATGGTCTATGGTCTCTTTTTAGCTATTGCTGCACCATAACTCTTAATATAAGCAAAGACATTGTAATTCAATATATTGTGATGGTCCAACATATTATTGTGAGAACTTTGACGATACAATATCAAGATATTACTATGTTATAATGTTGTTTCTTCATCAAAATCTTGCTTGTCTCATGAGGATAGATAAGTTTAATACCATTCTGTTAAACATTCAAGGCAAAGTATTATCATGTGCTTGGAGACAAACAGGTGGCACTGAAGTTACAGAGTGCAGCTTTGTCATATTTAGAAATAACAAAATATATACATTAGGGATGTAACAATATCCAAATCTCACAGTACGATATTTATTACGATATTTTAGTGAGGTTTATATTATTGTAGATGGGACACTTTTTTGCTTTTAAAATACCTTGACAAGATTTTGGTGTGAATTATTTCTGTCATAATCCCAAGAATTCAAGTAAAAAACATATCTTTTCATGTTGTGATATGTAGTTTCCGATGTTTATAAGCTGTTGCTACAATAAAACCATGCATTTAAGTAAAGGAACTTGTAATTTGATGTATTTTGATGGTCCACGATATTATTGTGACACTTTTGACGATACGATATCCTGATATTTCGGTTATTGTTACATCCCTAATATACATTTATCCATGGTTAAAGGGTCCATATTATGCTGTTTTCTGATTGATGTTATAATGTTTTTTCCTCATCACAAACATTGCCAGAGTTGTGTTTTGTTTCATTCACACATGTTTAACACACAAATCCTGCATATTTAGGCTGAGTTCTTCTCTCAAACAGAAAACACTCTGTTCCACCTCGTGATGTCATGTGGTAATACAGGAAGTGCTTCACTGTGTTTTTCAACTTGATAGGCCTTCACTAGAACCATTTGGATAATTTCAGCCCTGGAATTGTTCTTCATGAAATCACAAGGTGTAGCAGAGCATTTTGAGCTTTGGAGACATAGACAAACTAGTAATGCAGGATTACTCAAACATGTGTGAATGGAATGAAACAAAACACAGCCTCAGGTACTTTTTTGATGAGGTAACAGCATTATATTATTATTATTATGGCTTAAAGCTCACAAGAGTCAATATTGCATCATATAGGACCTTTAAGGGAATCATGCAGTACAGTATTTAGTCAGTATACTAACTTTTGTGCATGAATGGACAGATACTTATGTAATTATGAGAGTATTGGACACAAGATGGATGAGGCTGTCTGCGCACTGTCCCACTCCACTGTGTACGACTCGGTGCTACAGTTTGTCAAAGTGCTGATGATTCAGGAAAAAAAGTGTTTTACCATAGAAATTAAACTGCATTCATCATTTTGGGACAATTATGATTTGAAACGTAATATTTTTATTTTCTCATTTTCTGCAGCGATTACCCATGCAAAAACTCCGCAGTTAATTATCTCTATAATGCTATGCTAATATTGTTGTTTTTTTCATTGATACAAAGAGACTGGATTAATGATTTCTCGGCTGTGGCATTTTCTGTGTCACTTCACTGCTGTAAAAGGTCAGGCCTGTTACAATGTGGTGCCATTGGAGTGTGTAAGAACCAAGGTTTAGATCTGAGGAAGAACGCCTCCTGCTCACTGGTGTTTACACTTCACAGATTCATTTTCATTGATCCATTGTGCCTTCTCTCGGCATTACAAAAAATATAGAAGAGAAAGAAGACAGGTTTGAATATTATATGCATTGATGGAACACAACAAAGTAAAAGTAGTAGAGTCCTTACTGAAGTATACATTTAGGTATCTTTACGTTGCTTAAGTAGATTTTGAAGTGGATACTTTTTACTTTTACGTCACTACTGTTATGGGAATCTTTACATAATCATCTTAAATTACTTGTGTCAGTATTTATGCAAACGTGTAAGTTGACTTAATTATGGTTAAATCAGACTTTATCCTGTAGTCAGAGGCCTCATAGAGATTTATCACTCCCAGGCTCCAGACTCAGATAGTTGTGTCTGGGATTCCTTGTTATCCACTTGTTTTTTACATGTTATTTTATTTCCAGTGACCCAGCTTTGTGTTGACCGTCCTTGTAAGATGGTGTTATTTTCTTTTTACATCTTGCTACGTGGCTTGCCATCGTATAAAAAAATCTTGTATGCTTGTTTTGATGATAGGTATCTGTACTTTCTACTTCACTACGTTTGTGGACAGGACTGAAAAGTAAAGTATTTTTATGATTGTTTAAGTCTTGCTGGAAAGGATTGGGCTTGAGCCAACAAAAATGTACTAATTAAAACCTGTAGGAAATTAAAATCACTACATTTGAAGCTTGATTAGGTCACAAAATCTGTGAAATACATTTTACTCTTTAAGTACATCTTTAAAAGGGCACTTTAATACTTTACCTTTTTAATGTATTTATTTATTTTTTGCTCTAGTGACTTTTACTAACGTAACAAAATTGAGCATTTCTTCCACCACTGATCATATGTAGATTGATCTTATTCTTTCCATTGCATTTGTTAAAGCAGGGGTGTTGTCTTTTGTTTCCCATCATCTAAAATAGAAGTTTCTTAGAACTTTCTCAGTCCTCTTGATATTGCACAAATCATGACAACTATCTCTCTGTTTTCCAGGTTCACCTATGAGATCGCCCCTGTGTTTGTCCTCATGGAGCAGCTCACTCTGAGGAAGATGAGGGAGATTGTGGGCTGGAGAGATGGAGAGGGCGATGGAATATTCTCTCCAGGTAAGATTATTTCAGCAACAATTTTAAAAAAAATACATAATTAAAGTGCCCATATTATGCTTTTTCTGATCTATGTTATAATGTTGTTTCTTCATCACAAACAGACCTGGAGTTGTGTTTTGTTTCATTCACACATATTTAACACACAAGCCCTGCATATTTAAGCTTTAGGCTATTTAGAGTTTTTCTCTGAAACAGAAAACACTCTGTTCCACCTTGTGATGTCATGTGGTTATACAGGAAGTGCTCCACGCTGTTTTTAAACTCCACACACCTTCACCTGAATCATTTAGATGATTTCAGGGTCTGCTTACATGAGAGCGCTTTCAGATATAAACGACAAAATATTTTATCGGAATTGCCTTTCGTTTAGACAGTGACAGTGTTTTTGGGGCTTAAAAACGCAAAAATCTGAAACCACCCTCCAGAGTGGAAAAGTTGAATTCGCTCCACCCTAGCGTTTCCATCAGAGTTTTGCCCAAGATGCAAACCTCTGGTCAGATCTGCTCACGTCGAGTACGCGTTTACGTCACATACATATCGTACACAGAAACAAACATGTCGGATGGCATGCATACCCAGTCGAATTCCACACACTTTTGCTTCGTCGTATGAACGCAGATTTCCTCCCAAAAACGCTTGTCTAACCACAGAATAAAAAGGGAAGACGCAATGCCACTTTTGCGTTTTCTGTTCACACCATCATCATATAAACTTAGCCTCAGCCCTAGAATTCTCAATTTCTACTGAACAAAAGGTAAAAGAAGCTGTTAACTTGAAAACTACCACTGCATGGCATCACAAGGTGGAACAGAGCATTTTGAGCTTTGGAGATGTACATAAGATAATAATGCAGGATTACTCTAACATGTGTGAATGAAACAAAACACAGCTCCAGATATGTTTTTGAGGAGGGGTCAACATTCTAACAAGGCTTTAAAGCTGAAGCTAATATAGGACCTTTTATTTAAAATGATAAAAATATATGTCTTTTATGTAGGTGGTGCAATCTCCAACATGTACAGTGTGATGGTGGCCAGATACAAGTACTTCCCAGAAGTGAAAACCAAAGGCATGTCAGCTGCCCCCAGACTGGTCCTCTTCACCTCAGAGCATGTCAGTCAACATTAATTTATTTATTATTGTATTTATTTAGTATAAGTGAAATTCAGTTTTAATCTTAATCTTTGTTTTTTCAGAGCCACTACTCCATCAAGAAAGCCAGTGCTGCTTTGGGTTTTGGGACAGAGAATGTAATACTTTTAAGCACAGATGAGAGGTTATTTAGTTTTTTTTTTTATATACATATTCATGGGCTACAAGGATATAAGACAAAAAGTGGCTCTACTGTTTGGTATTTTTCTTTTTTCAGGGGAAGAGTCATCCCAGCTGATTTGGAGGCTAAAGTAATAGCAACCAAACAGAAGGTAAATGGTTGCTATAATAGCTTAGGGCAGCACATGACATGATTTGGGGTTTGGCTGGGCAGTGGGCACTTCAACAATGTCAATCCTCACCCCCTTTCACATTTTCTTGAGATGAAAAAGTAATTTAAAGGGCCTATATTACTCTATTTTCCAATTCATGTTATAATGTCATTTCCTCATCATAAACATACCTGGAGTTGCGTTTTGTTTAATTCACACATATTTAACACATAAACCCTGCATATTTACACTCTGTTCCACCTTGTGATGTCATGTAGTGATACCAGAAGTGCTCTACTGTGTTTTTAAACTCCATACACATTCACTAGAAGCATTTGGATGATTTCTGCCCAGGAACTGACAATCTCTACTGAAAGGTAAAAGGAACTGTTAAGTTAAAAACTACCACTACATGGCATCACAAGGTGGAACAGAACATTTTGAGCTTTGCGGATATAAACAAACTCATAATAAAGGGTTACTTGGTTAATAATGGGTTACATGTGTGATTGAAAGAAAATACAACTCCAGTTATGTTTTTGAGGAGGTAACAACAAGGTTAAGAGCTCACAAGAGTCAATTTTGCATAATATAGGATGTTTAAATTAATGTGACCAAAATAAATCATCATAATAACAGAGCTCAATGAACATTCTGCAGGTGAGTGTGAACATAAAACCTTTAATACGAGCTGGGGGGTATTCAGGCATTTGTACTTGTCTTCACATGTCTACATTCTTCATTCATGCCATAAGGGGTGCCGCTCCTGAACCAAAAATGTCTGGCTCTGCCACTTTGGTTTTACCATAATAATTGACCCAAAGGTCAAGAATGTGTCTACCTAGGATATGCACTTAAAATAATCTTCATGAGGGAAGGTTGTGTTGCTGTCAATGATAAATTATGTAATTAAATGTAAAAATAGATCTTAACACGTTGCATTTCTCTTACAGGGCTATGTTCCCTTGTATGTGAACGCCACAGCCGGTACTACCGTCTATGGAGCCTTTGACCCCATCAACGAAATCGCTGACATCTGTGAAAAGTACAACATCTGGCTTCATGTGGATGTAAGGGCCTTTTTAAGAGTCTGGTCACAAAAAGACAGGCAATAACATGAGAGAAAAGTGGATTTTTTATTTGAGCTGTTATATCGGCTACTGTCCTGATGGAAGAACATGCTGTCTGTGCAGGGGGCATGGGGAGGCAGTCTGCTGATGTCTAGGAAACACAGGCACAAGCTCAATGGAGTAGAAAGGTACCAAAGCACTCACAAACCTCCAAATTACACACAAACTGGTACGTTAGCACCTGTAATTTGTCAATGGAGATTTCCTTGCCTGCGGTCCCAATACACCCTTCTTCATTACTTTGCAAAAATGTGAGTCTGGTCACCAGTGAGTCTCCCTGTTTTCAGATGGGCGTAATTGACAGGTGCATTACCCAATCAGGGATGTGCATGGTTTGTCTGTATCAAAGACAAATATGGCTGCTTATGAGTAAAAAAAAAAAAGGACAAAAACTGAGAGGGGGACTGAAAAAACATTGCGTATTTCTGCAGAATTATTGAGTGAACCACTATTCTAAGAAATTGGATTTTATTGGTAAATGTTTGGTGCCCAGTGAGTGTTTTCATTTCATATGAGTTACTGAAAAAAAACAAAAACGAATAATGTTCTGGCTCGAGACGCAACAGAGGGCGTGGTGACCAAACTGATCCTTCTGAATAAAAAATACAGAGAGATATCATTTTGGATTTGACATGCAATATATTTCCTGATGCAAATTAATTGAATAACCAAGAAAGTATGAGGTTAGAGTCACAAAGCTGAAAACAGGAGAGTATTGTGTTAAAGGTGCACTGTGTAACATTTTTAATGGAGAGTCTGCCAACTGCTTATCTCCATGGAAATGTTATTGTTTTATTTAAACTGTTCCACAGTACAGATAAAACTATCACAAGGGAGACAAGCAAGTTACAGCACTACACTACATCACAGTTCAGATCTGTGAGAGTCACCCCTATTCACTGAAGAAAGTATGGTATTTTTGAGCAATAGAAACACGTGTAATAATTAAATTCTAGATGGATCTGTTTAATGCCCCACCATGGAACATTCCAGGCAAAATAATAACATCTCTATAAGACAACTAGATTGTGAACTCTCCACCAGAAATGATTAGTGAACATAAACAACTAAATTACATTATTTTTCTAATGTAGTTTTCCACACAGATTTGGTGTAGCTTGTACAAAATAAATACAAATGCATTATCTTTTGAAATTCACTGCAGGTCAGCTGGCATGTGCGTTTACATTTCTGAAGTGAAAGTAGTCTCTTATCGTGTGATTTTTATGAGTGGGAAATGAACACATATTCATTCTCCAGCAAGTATGCAGGATCCAAAAGTGTTCACCTACAAAATGTAATGAAAAATAGACCCAAACTGGCCTGCTCCAGTAAAGTTGTTTATTCTTCTCACCATTGTAGCATTTTGGGCACACCTTTTCATCACAAATCAAGTACAGCAGGGACACATATGTGTTATATAAGGAGCCGAACTGAATAGGACAGCACACACAGAAATGTAATCATAACATAATGAATGGTAAAAAATAGAGTCCATTAGACATGCTCTTATTTGTGTTATGTGTGTGCAGGGCTAACTCAGTCACCTGGAACCCTCACAAGATGATGGGAGTGCCACTGCAGTGCTCTGCCATTCTCGTCCGAGAGAGGGTGAGCCTCCTGTCTTCCACTGCACACTTTCACACTGTACAAGTGGCACCATCTTCTGTCTGCTCTAACCTATCTTTTCTCTCCTCTGTCACTCTGTCTCTCCTCCATTACTCTGTCTATCCTCTGTTATTCTTTCTCCTATTTTTTCTCCTCTGTTACTCTACCTCTCCTCTGTTGCTCTGTCTCTCCTCTGTTCCTCTGTCTCTCCTCTGTTCCTCTGTCTCTCCTCTGTTCCTCTGTCTCTCCTCTGTTCCTCTGTCTCTCCTCTGTTCCTCTGTCTCTCCTCTGTTCCTCTGTCTCTCCTCTGTTCCTCTGTATCTCCTCTGTTACTCTTTCTCTTCTGTTACTCTGTCTCTCTGTCTATATTCTGTTACTGTTTTTCTCCTCCATCTGTCACGCTTTTTCTCGTCTGTTACTCTTTCTCTCCTCTGTCACTCTGTGTCTCCTCTGTTTCTCTTTCTCTCCTCTCTTCCTCTGTCTCTCTCTCTCTCTCTCTGTGTGATACAGGGCCTTCTGCAGGGCTGTAACTCCATGTGTGCGGGTTACCTCTTCCAACCAGACAAACAGTATGACGTCACATATGACACTGGGGACAAAGCCATCCAGTGTGGACGCCATGTCGACATCTTCAAGTTCTGGCTCATGTGGAAGGCAAAGGTATGCTGACCACTTTCTATAAGGAAAAGACTTCAAGACAAAAAAAAAACATTGGTTTGGAGCAGAGTTAAAAGGTAGAAATGAGGCATATGTGTGTATTTAATAGCAATGATTGAAAGTCATTATGTTGAGGAAAGTCAAATTGAAAGACATTGTTATTTGTTTTAGTAAGATAAAATAATCGGAGTATAGCAGCAAGCAACAGTGAACAATGATGAGCCAGGCCCATCCCTGCTTAGCTTTAGACATCAGACAAGGTCAGGTGGTATGGCTGATATATGTAAATTCACTCATTCACTCCAATGGACCTTCTCCATGGAGGTGTCCGTGGACCAGTGCACAGCAGTGGGCAAAAGGGGCTCCAAGAAGGAGGCCAGGAGGAGAGCGGCTGCAGCTCTGCTCCAGATGATTAGATACACAGTCCCAGAAGAGGAGCTGGTCCCACCTGCTCCTCACCCCACAATAGACCCTGCTCCTGAAACAGAGAACTCTCTGGAGAAGCAGACCAGAGCTCCATCTGCTCACATCTCTCCGGAATTCCGTCTGAAGAAGGACCCCACCACACGCCTGTCTAAGCTGCAGATGATCCGCAGACAGAAGGGTGCTGAGTACCACCTGGTAAGCAGGGAGCTGATGAATGGCAGTTGGGTGTTCACTGTTGAGATGACCCTGGACCAGTTCATCGCCTCTGGCTCCGGACGCACAAAGAAGGAGGCTAAGAGAAACGCATCCATCTCACTGCTTCTCTTGATGGGCTTTAAAGTCCCAGAGAAGCACCTGCCCCTGGAGAAACCTGAGGAAATCACTTCAGAAGAGTATTCAGAGGGCCAGTCCCTTCAAACAGCACCAGTGAGGGCAGAAGACTCAGAGATACAGACGTCAGGATGCTGTGAGACTCTTTCAAATATGACTGTGAGTCCAGAGACTCAACAGGAAATTCCAGACCAGGAGAGCCACATTCCACAGACCACCGCTGCCACCAACAACGAAGAGGAGTCAGAGACATTAGAGACTCCAGAGAATGTAGAGAGTCCAATGTCCGGAGAAACTGGACTGACACAACAAAGTCCTCAGGAGGAAGAGCTCCTTTAAAATATGACTTTTAAATATGACCGTGAGTCCAGAGGCTCTGCAGGAAACTCCAAACCAGGAGAACCAAGAGGAGAGCCACATTCCACAGACCACAGCTCAGGCAGTGATGATGTTTCAGAGGAGACATCAGAAGAGAGCCACAGACACAGCTCTCATGAACCTGTTGAAGAGGAGCAGAGCAAAGACACTTCAGATCAAACTGGACTGGAGGATCTCAAAATTGTTGAGAAAGATATTCCAGAAACAGTTTGTGCTTTTCTGAAAGATGTCGTTTCCTCTCCTCTAAAGGTTTTTGTAAACCCTGAGCCTGTTTCAAGTGGCTGCTTCAAGGGACCCCAAACTCTGGGTGAGTTCCACAAAAGTACAGTGGAAAACCCAGAGGATCTGGAAATTCAAACTGAGACCCAGGACGAAGTGGAGTCAAAGACACTAGAGAGTTCCAGTCCAATGGAGGTTCAAATCCTGGAGGTACAGTCTCTGAAGAGTCCAGAGGAGGCAGAGACACTAGAGACTCTAGAGGATGTAGAGAGTCCAACGTCAGGAGGAACTGGACTCAAACATCAAAGCCCCGAGGAGGAAGAGCTCCTCTGGATGTTTGACAAGAGCTCAACTGATGATGAATCTCCTGAAAATAACCAGATTTCAGAGCAGCTGGACATCAGCTCAGAGGAAGACCTCAGTCCACCTGAGCCAGAAATACAAGAACACCAAACCCCAGATGACACAGAGACACTAATGGAGGTCCAGAATCACCTCCAAATTGCAGTGGAGCCAAACCCAGAGGAGGTGCAGCTCCACACGGCAGAGGACGCACCAGCAGAAAAAGAGTGTGAGAAGCTGCAGATCGAAAGCCCAGCCTCAGCTCCAGAGCCCCCTGCAGCTCCTCAACGACCCTGGGCTTAGTGGAGAGGCTGGTGATCCATGCTCTGGTCAAAAAACTGCTGCAAAAGCTGCCCTCCAAAATGAGGTCCCACCACGATGCATTAGTGCAGATTCTGGAGAAGACCAGAGTTCAAGACCAGTTCAAAGTCCCAGCTGAAGTTCATATCAATCCCAAAAACACAAGAAGCTGGGCAAAGCCGCAGCTAGAGACCTGATCCACGAATACGGCTCTGCCTCCAAGCTCCTGGTGATGGCTTTAGGACCAGTTCCCACAGACTTCCAGAAAGATGCCGTGAAACATCTGAACTTTCATCTCAGCGCCTTTAGAAACCGGCCCAGAACTTTTCTGGCTCGGCTCTTTTCAGAGTGGGACAAGCCCAAGATGAGGCCCTGTTAGACAGAGCCCACTGTGTCCTTTAAGAGTGACTCGTTTGGTAGAGAGGGGTCAAAGGTCACTGGACAGTTTTAAGGTTGAGATGTTTCGCTTCCATCCAGAGCTCATTTTAAGAGTCAAAACGCTGAATGGAAGTTGAAGCGTTTCCATTTCAAAAACTGTTCAGATGAAACCTGCAACTCCTTTTCTCCCACAGACCAAACGAGGATCACACCGACTCACAGAGGACGCAGCACCTTTATTCAAATGCATTCAAGAAATAAATAAAAATTCACACTCCCCCAAAATATTGTTATTATCTTTCTTTTATGTCTTTTTCTCTCTTAAAGCAGCACTTCTGTAGAGGGCACAACACCTGCATGCATGTTTTTTAGCAGTGGTCTCAGCAAGGCACTGACATTTCATCAAAAATTGTAGAACAAATGATTTTATTACCTCAATTAATCACATTATTGTATTTTTAGATCTAAAATTCTCTCAAACATGACATAAATATGAAGGATTAATGTTCTAGGGCTTAATTCTTTATATCACAATGCACAATGTCCCTGTGTCTCCATGGGGTCTTATTCTGAGTAAAAGCTGCTCACCCTGTAGTTCAAATGTCTGTTCTTGGACATGTATAAATTCAGTACATAAATGGACTCTATAAATAAAGTTTGATTGATGGATTGACTGATTGATATAAAAATCTTTATACAGTCTATGACTTAACCGCTGAAAATGAAATGAAGGTTTGGTCTGGTGGAAAGAACGACTCTTTCTAAAAGGGGAACACAGAACACAGAATGGTGTGAGGCAACACAGAATGGTGTGAGACTGGACTTTTACATTGAGAAATTCCCAGGTCAGATAAAAGAAGTGAGGTAATCAGCTGTGACAGTTAAAAGGATGGGTATTGCAGTACAGGATGAAGAACACACCCAGCTGTCTATTTTGACTTCAAGAGCTGTTTATACGATATAACTGAGGCAAGACAAGAACAGGGCCTGTAAATCAATGTACAAAGTGTAAAATAATCCTCTACATGTGTCACTAAATATTATGTATTTTTTAATGAGGTAAGAACAATCAAATGTAGGGGAAAAGTGCTATAGAAAAGCTTCATTAAACATAAAACTGTGCTATTTGTTTGTGTCATACAGGGAACAGTAGGATTTGAGCAGCATATCGACAAGTGCCTGGATCTGTCTGCATACCTCTTCAATAAAATCAAAAACAGAGAAGGCTACAAGATGGTGTATGAGGCAGAGGTAAGTTCACAATACAGGATCCAGCACAAAAGAGCCAGTGCCTTTTAAATCTGTTTACTCTGCATTAGCCGGTAAGTACACCTTTGTAGGATTGATTGGATTATTTGCCTCGGTTGACACACTGACAACGAAAACTGAAATTACAGAAGAGCGTTTTTATCTGCACTCATTACAAATGTTGTTCCAATTTCCTCTTATCAGCCCCAGCACACAAACGTCTGCTTCTGGTACTACCCTCCGAGCCTGCGCAGCTTACCTGAAGGAGAGGACAAGAGGGAGAGACTGCACAAGGTAACTTCAGAAACCGAAAGGCTACTGTGAGCTTTTCTGTGGCATATGATAGGGACGTAATAATATAATGCTCTTAGTTGAATAAAATCAGCTTCTGTTTGCTAGAATTTAACTGTATTGTCAAAGAATCCTTAAAGGTACTAATCAAAATACGAACAAAAGTAAACGGGGTGGGACGAGACACCATTTTCAAGAGATGAGACACACCTTGAGATTAGGTCCATGAGAACGAGACAAGACAAGATTTTGACATAATGTGTAATAAATAAGCAGCGCATCCATTTCACAATTCTGGCTTCATGATTTTCAGCTATAGTTTCTCAAATTGCATAACTCGCCAGCTCTGAACTCTTTGTTTAGTCCAAACCAAAGGTAAATTCAGGGGGAAAAAATCTCACAAGAAAATTTTTCTCATGTGTGCTCAATCTTGTGGCAATTTTGTCTCACAAGATTTTGTCTCATCCCTACAAGTAAACATTAAGTAGGGATGTCAGAATATCAGATTTTAGTGATACGATTGTCATCATCATCAAAACTTTATTGCAGACTCTTAGTCCAGAGTTAAAAGACACAACAATAAAAAAGGGAGAGATGTGTTAAGATTTTACAGTTATTCATACATCAATATCCTGACAACAATGAAATCACAAGTTTTCTGTCATAATTCCTCTAGTTTATGATTAGCTCTATAAAATAAAATAAAATAAAAATATTAACTTCTGAATGATAATGATAATGCGACATAAGATTCAACTGAATGATGTATTTTAGTTTGAATTCTCACAGTTATTGTTGCAAAATAAAATGTTGTCAGTAATGTCTAGGGATGTAACAATATCCAAATCTCTTGGTACGATATTATCATGAAAGGCATGTCACGGTAGGATATTTATTGCAATATTTTGAAGAGGCTAGTATGATTTTTTTTTTATTTATTTTTTTGCTTTTAAAATACCTTGACAAGATTTTGGTGTGAATTATTACTGTCATAATCCCAGTCCCATCAAGTAAAAAACATATTTCTTCATGTTGTCTGCACTGAAACGAATCATGGGATATGTAGTTCCCTATGTTCATAAGCCAAGCATTTAAGCAAAGGAACTTGTAATTCGATCTATTGTGACAGCCCACGATATTATTGTGAGACTTTTGACGATACGATATCATGATATTTTGGTTACTGTTACATCCCTAGTAATTTGATTTTTCCGTGAAAAGAGGCATACGTAAATCGATACGTGCATGCGTAACTTAATTTGTGCGTAATTTGATTGCTGCATGCATGATTTGATTCCTGCACGTATAAACTGATCAAAATTGGCAAAAAATGTAAAGTCCTACACACCCAGCTCTAATTACACACAGAATATTTGCAACAGTTCTGCCCTGCCTTGTTTTCTGAGCGTAACTGGATCCACACGTGTAAATGGATCTGTGTGTTTGATTTGTCTGTACGTAATTTAGTATGAACAGATAAGCAAATAACGTCAAAGTCTTATACATGCTAGACTCCAACTCCTGACGTGCCTCATTCTTGGTTATTTGATTTTTTCCAAGCATGTTATTTATGAAAACTTTTAATCAACATCAACAATCAAGAACTTAAGTAGAAGTACAGATACAGCAGCAAAAAACCAAAACCAAAAGTAAAAGTGGTGAAAAAATAACTAATGTACTCGTTTAAAAATGTAATTAAAGAGTAAAAAGTAAAAGTATTTCATGCACATTTGGGGTTTTTCAAGGCATTAAATTAATTGATGTTGATAAAGATTTGTGCTAAAATTTGTATATTTTTGTTTATTCAAACTACAAATGAAATGTGTTGAAAAATAAACCCCTCAGCCTTTTCCACAGGTCTCAAAATTTAATAAAAAAATACTAATCCTGTTAAAAAATGTAGTGGAGTAGAATGTATAGATAGCTGCTCTCAGATGTAGTGAAGTAAAATTGAATCAGTATCCACTCTTAAATCTACTTTAAAGTGCAGATACCTGAAGAACAGTACTTTGCAACTTTGACTTTCTTACATTACACCACTGATGCTGACTAAAACTAAAAGTAAGGCTGTTTTTATGCCCTCTTGTCTCCAGGTGGCTCCAAAGATCAAAGCTATGATGATGGAGTCTGGGAGCACCATGGTGGGCTACCAGCCTCAGGGAGACAAGGTCAACTTCTTCCGCATGGTCATCTCCAACCCGGCAGCCACCAGGTCAGACATCGACTTCCTCATTGACGAGATCGAACGCCTGGGACACGACCTGTAAAACAAAATAAAAAAACAAAAACCCCCAAAAAAGAAATGCACCTACTGTATATCGTCTCTAATGTTATGGCCTTCATGTTTCTATGGTTACACTGACCAACTGTAATGCACAACAGTCTGTTCTCATGTCTGTTTTTTGTCTTTGCACACAAGAAAACTATATTAAAAAGCACACAGGTATTCTTACCAAATACAGAGACGAAAATATATAGCATTGTGCTCATATTAGTGTGTTGTTATGTACATGTAATTGTGACATAGCTGAGCACTTGAATGAATCTCAAAGGGATACGAACTAATGCAAATTACTGTTGTACTTGATAGTAGTAGAACCTCATGTACAGAGTGCCGTAGAGAAGTGAGTGCAGGATACATTCACTTGTGTTGTGGTGACCGCGTCGTACCCACGCTCCTTTGATATCCCATAATGGAAGTACATATATAGCCTCTATAGGACTGTCATTGCAACAAGAACTGTACTTGATCGCTGTGTTTTTAGAGATTTTTGTCTAGACAGTGTATAGTATTGTAACATTGCCTTTGTGCCAAATGTGTCCTAGTTTTCCAGTGAGAATCCTGTATGTAAATCATACCATAATATTATATACAAATGAAATAGATGAATACCCTAATTACAGAGACTATAATTAATAGGATACTTCTATTATTTTGTGTTGTATCTTACTGTAAAAATCACATCTTAAATTGTCTCGTGAGCCAAAGAAAATGTTCCATTGGTCCTACACTGATGTTTATACTGTATCATTAGGAAGATAATGGACACCTTTTGTTTAATGTGAAACTGTCCAATGTTATTGTAATTCACTACTGAATGTTGTTACGTGACAGAGGGAGGAGGGAGAGCTTTGTTTCCAATGAAAAGCACAATGCTAAACCCTGAACTGGGCGGCCATTCTCTACAGATGTATGATTATCACTATTGTGGTGTGTGCAGTGTCCACGTTTAATTATGCAAAGTCTTGTTGTCTTACACTCAGTAGAGAAACACTTCTATGACATGAAGAGAATTTAGTGCAAATAGGAAATATATATACGTGTTAACTACTGATTAAACTTACATTCCTGAAAGAATGGGATCTAAAGCTCTTTCAAATTGGATGTAGGCACTTTAATTTACAGAATATTGTGGTATAAATCAAAAATTGTAGGATTTGTGTATGCGTGTGTGTGTGAAAGAGTATCTCAGAGAAGGTCTTAAGACTTTTTCCGAGTTCATTTGTCACTGTCAGACGGCTCAGTGCATCAAACGCTTGGCCGAGAAGGGAATATGGTCTGTATGTATCCAAATATATGCAAATTTAATGTATATATTAAGACTATATGTGATATAAGAATAAATCAATCATGACCGACCACTGTCATGTCCATCTCTAATTTGTACCTTTTCGGCGTTGTACCTTGCTCCTGTCTACCACCTCTCAGATTAATTGCACCTTCGGGACTTTTTATTGGTCGATCATCTACAGCTGAGATTTCACAAGCCCCCACTCCCCATGCCAATTCCTTCACTCCTGTCATTACTCACACTTCCAAGATATTTATCATAAAATGCATTAGACTGTGCTCTCTTAACATTTTTTTTCCAGGGAGCCTATTTCGGTGCTTTGCCTGGCTGCTTTTTATTTCGACACAGTAGTGAAGGGGGGCACAGCTCACCCTCCCTCTCTCCCTCCTTCCCTCCCTCCGTCCTCTCTCCCTCACTCCCATCCTCCACCAGCCAGCCCCATGCTTTGTTTCATGGTTCATTGCAGCGATCATTACAAACCTGGTGTCACCGATAGTCGAAGTTACAGGAAGACAGAGTTTAAAAGCAAGGCCCACTCCAGTCTTAAATTATAAGCTTCAAAGATAGTCCTTTTGTTTGCTCCACTAAGTACTGCATTATATCAAGGAGGGGTTAATGTGCCAAAACATAATGACATGGCTAATTTGGGAAGCAGGTGCTGGAGAGTCTGCCAGTGATGAAATGCAAATGGGGCTGCGCTTTGACTCTTATGGAGCGTCACAGTCTAGTAGGTCCTAGTGTGTGGCCTGATAGCCTCCTAAAGTAAGTCATTGTGTTAGTCTCCCATTGCTTCACTGCCACTAATCTGTCTACACACTGCAGGCATCATATTGAACAAACAAAAATCAATACATCATTTATCAGCTCTTTGCTAATATAAAGATCACTAATAGTAACAATAACTCCTTAGACTTGCAATGTGCTTTACAGTAGTTATTATTCATTCACGCCATACTTAGTGGTGGTAAGCTACTATTAAGCTACAGCTGCCCTGGAGCAGATTGATGGTAGCAAGGCTGCCAGTCACCACCATTCAATCACGTGCACACCATTTTAATACTGGGCAATGTGGATGAAGAGTCTTGCTTAAGGACAAAATGACATTACTTGGTCTGAGCGGGAATCAATCCTCTGACCTTCAGGATGCGGGACTGAGCCACTGTCGCTCCACTAACTAGTCCACATTATCACTCTGTGCCCTCACTTGATGGGGTAGTATGAAGCCACAGCTGCCCTGGCTCTGAAGTGGCTGCCACTCTGCCTCCATCTCTCTTCCACCAGTCACTCACGAACTTGGGAAGGTGAGTAAAATGTCTTGCTCCAATAAGATGCTTTGGCAAGAGCTGGAACTGAACCCCCAAGCTGCTGGTAAAACAATCACCTACCTACCACCTAGTTTTTTCCATGGAGATGTTATTGCTTTGCCTGGAATGTTCCCTAGTATCACTTTAAACATATCCATCTAGCATTTATTCATTATGAGTGTTACAATACAATACAATATGATACAATAATTCTCTATGGGAATAGGGACGACTGTCCGCAGATCTACGCTTTGAGTTGCATTTTTTGTATGAAAAGCGCTCTATAAATAAAGTTTGATTGATTGATTGATTGTAATGTAGCATAGTGCTGTAACCTGCTTGTGTCTCTCATGTTAGATAAGTGGAGGGCCGATTAAGGGCCATAGACTGATGGTTAATACAGTAAATAATTCAAATATGCGCATTTATAAACAGGTTAAAATGAGAAACCAGAACCTTAACCAAGCTTAGACCCTCAAACGGACACATTTAATATTTGAGGAAATATGACTTGAGGAAATATGGGCCAATTCACCTTGAAGTCTGAGGACCAAGAAAGAAAAATTAATCTGAGGGCCGCATTTGGCTCCTGGGCCATAGTTTGGACATGCCAGTTCTGGACAAAGCCATAGCAGGTGACGGACCCTCCACTATAAATGCTACACAGAGCACCTTTAAAGCTCACAAGAATCCATTTTTATGTATTATAGGCCCTTTAACCACATCCCTCTCATGTGTAATACTTTTCCCTGTATACATTGATACACATTGTCAGAAGCAGCTTCCCCCTCCCCTCCTGCCCCCCTCCTCCCTCGGGAATCACTGCCACATTAGCTCCCTGATAGATACTGATGCTCCATTGTGCATTTCAACTCTGTAATGAAATGATGATGATGATATTGACTTCCTGATTCCTCCCAGCCCTTCCCCCAATTCTCCAAACGCTCGTAGCCGAACACACACTATCTTAACTAATCTAGACATACTTGAGCGTAATGTACAAGTAGAAAATCTGTGGGTCAGCTTCCCTACGTAGCATTACACCCATGATAACAGAATCAATTGTACCACTTTAAAGGTCTGTAAAGCAATTATAATGGCTTACAATTATCTCAACAGCCTTCTTGTATTGACCACATGTCCAAAGCTTGACTAATCTCACCACAAAGTTACATTTAAGCAGAAGATTAAATAGGCTAATGACTGGGACTGGAGAATGTGCATGGCCAAACTGTGTAAACCTCTAATGTGGAGCTTGTTAAAGTTGAAAGGGGGACAGTAAATGTGTCAACAGGGTATTTTCTAAAAGGAATTAGCTTAGCATGAGCCCGGCAGCAATTACACAGCAGCAAATCAAGTGTGTGTGTGTGACGATTGCTATCATGCATGCTAAATGAACACAACAGCCTAAAGCGCATTACAGCTCTAATTGAAGTGGAACCAATGGATTCTTTCTTGTTTAAGTCTGTTGTTTTTTCCTTTTTTGACTGGTTGAAGCAGAAAACCAGAAAAGCATGGATTCATGAAAGTGTAAACAACAGCTCTGAGTTGAAAAGTGTAGATTTAATCAGGCTACTCAGTGCCCACTCGGGCTACTGTGGGACGTTTGTGTTCTCTGACTCATGTGTGAAATCCTTTGTTGATAGATTTTGGGATCTTACAAATATTTGCTTTTTGCTGTCATAATGTTCAAATGATCAGACTAAATCAAGCTTTAAAAAATGTGCTAATGAATGAAAAATTGTATTAGTCATGTAGTTTTCAACCTTTTTTTCTATTTTTTACCTCGCTGGAGTATATGGAGTTTAAAAACACAGGGAAGCATTTCCTGTATTTCCTCATGACATCACAAGGTGGAACAGCGTGTTTTCTGTTTGAGAGATAAACTTGGCCTCAATATACAGGATTTGTGTGTTAAACATGACTGAATGCACAGAATCACAAGTGGAAATTTATTACCAGATTTTTTAAAATTCCAGATATAACTCCTAAGATGGGAACAATACATTCTGGCTTATGCTGGGTGAAACTGTGGCGTCGTCAATGCTAACCATACTCAAATATTTTGGCATTGTCCTAAACTAGATTTGTTTTGGAAGGAAGTTTTTGATGGCCTAAAAGTTATTTTTAATCAACATAATCCATCTCCCCCGGTAGTAGCAGTGTTAGGAGCAGTATATCTGCAAGTAACAACAAGCGAAATGAAAAATACCTTTTGAATATTCTACTTACTGCTGCCTTAAATGTATAACCATCAGATAGCTCAAACCAGATCCACCTTCTTATAACATATGGATTCAGAAAATATGGGATATATAACAAATGGAGCAGATAACATATTCTTTAAGGATTCAAAAACCCATATTTATGAAGCATTGGAAACCTGTTTTGCCTTTGTTAATACAGTAGAGATGACATGGGGCTTCTTTTATAAGTGGCTCTGATATATAAAGAGTGGACATTTAATTATGTCATTGTTACCCTGTTGTTTGCTTGTTTCTTTTTTTTACAAACTTAAATTGTTTGTATATTGTATTGTAAAAGAAAGAAAGAAAGAAAATGGAAATGTTTGCATTGATTTAAACCATTGTATTATTGCTGAAAAAGAAAATAAAAATTAAGTTAAAAAAAACATGTGAATGAAACAAAACACAACTCCAGGTATGTTTGTGATGAGGAAAAAACATTATAACACAGATCAAAGATAGGTAAATTTAATGCCATACTGTGGATCATTTCAGGCAGTGCCAGACATAAACAAGGAAACTATCAAACTTGTGAAGAGCTGTTCCCTTTTCAGTCAAGAAAAGAAAAAAAGATATTGATGTATTTCCAGTACTGTGGCGTTCTCTAGATATTGAGCGCAAGATGGACTCAGTAATTTACAACTTTCTCTTTCTTATACTTGCCCCTTCCTACAGCAGTCTAAACCTCAAACTGAGCACTTCTTGGCAGCATTAGACTCCATGCAGGGACGAATAGACATAAATCTAAACGTGCTTATTTCCCACAACTGGGAGAAAAGGAACAATGATGGGCGAGTTTGGAAGCGTCAGCAGCTCGCGCAGGAATACAGAGTTTATTTATCTTCTGCCTGGAGCTTGAGCAAGTGTCATTGCACAAAACATAAGGCCTTGGTTGTAAATAAGGGCATGTAAAGATTTGTTGGAACAAGAATAATTCAACCTCAGGATAACTGTGATGGCCCCATGATCGATAAATAAGTCAGGCAGAGTTTATGATGCCAAAAATAGCAGACTTGTACTAAATGTAACACCTCCTAACCTATTGTGTTCACATAAAACAACATGCAGTGACTTTAAATCATGGGCTACTGTGGGATGTAACTGAATACATGAACTGAAAATACAGAATACTCATTTTTATTAACAGTATTCTGGTACAGTTACTTTTTCGTTTGGTGCTATGCAAAAATGCAAAAAATTCAGATTCTACAGTGTGATGTGGGGCAAGAGAGAGTTGTTCCCATTGATTACATTGTACTTTGTCATGAAATATCTAAAAGGCAAATTCACAAATGCTAAACCTAGTGATTTTTGTTAAATATTATGGGCCTATAGAATGGTGTGATATCTTCTGAAACCCAGCAACACAATTACTTTACTAAAATCAGAAAAAGAAATACAAGTCAGTACTTCATCGTGCAGTTTTGGCTTAGAAAACAAGAAAACAATTGGACATGAATGCATAACAAACAATAAAAATAAAGCTGTTTGCAATTATATGCCATGTTTTTATACACTATAATATAATACAACTTGATGTAAAAGTATTCAGAATACAGTTACTACTACAGTAACGGAATACATTACAAAATAAAACTGACTGTAGGTATTCAGCATTCTGTAACTAAATACATTTTCAAAGTGTTATTCCCATCACTGTGCTCTAGAAATGATTATATTTTAAACCAAATGAAACTGCACATCGCACTCAGCTTTTCAATTCTGCAGCAGCGACAGAAAATAATACGCTTCCAAGATTGTTTTAGTTTGATATTGGCTTTACCCCAGATGCCCTTCCTGCTCTAACCTTTTTGTTTACCTGGGTTTATGGAAGAACACTTAGAGTTAGAGTTACTTTATTTGAACAGTTTAAAATTCAAGAAAGCACAACATATAGTCTCTCTATACTTGTCTAGACATTCAAAGCATGTGCATTTAATGAAAAGAAAGACAAAAAAAAAAGTTTAAAACATTCAAGAGTAAAATCGGTCCCTTTGTGCTTTATTTCAGAATCAAAATAGTTATAGTCAACATACAAAATAAAATGTTTTGATGAAACGATTTGTGAGTAGCTAGTAACTACAAGACACCTCTTCTTCTAAGTTCCCATATATCAGACTATATTCTCTATACCATTGTTACCCAAAGACTGGGTCGCGATCCTCAGGTGTGTCGCAAGAGAATTTTTGGGGTCGCCTTATCACGATCTGCAATATATAGTTCTGACACATGAGAGCAAGTGAATATCCTGTCTTCAGTAAGGCCTGTATTTCTATGCTTATTCTGTGTCTTACTACATATATGTGTGAACTGGGACATTCTGTGCTCACAGAAATGAAAGACAAAGCACAGAAACAGACTGAATGCTGTGCCTGATCTGCTGCTGCACTCTCCTCCTGCACCCCGGACGGAAACACGCTACAAAAATGCAGACAGACCCACCTATCTCTTTAGAAATATTGAAATGTTAAGACATGTTTTGTATAATTTCTAATATTTATGTAATTATTTTATTGATTAATTTGTTCCAATATTGCTGGTTCAATTGAATGTTGAAAAGAAAAAGAAATGGGCTACATTTAATGTCCAAATAGGCGACTTATAGATCCCTTTTATTGCAGACACGATCACTCAGTCAACAATAAAATATCCTTATTAATGTTCAATAATGGTCAAATCCAAGTTCATTTTGTGATTTACAAATGTCTATTGTCTTGGATCGGGAAGGTTTGTGACTTTTAAAATGTGGGTCTCCAGAAAAAAGTTTGGGAAACACTGCTCTATACTATAGTCAGCCCCATACTGATAGCATTTCCTCTGCTCTCCTCTGGCGTCTCTAAACCCAGAGACACTGCTGAGAGTGACAGGCAGACAATGATTGATTTAGGGAAACACAGACCTAGTTCAGAACACATTATTTGATAAGGTCCCCTGCATTAGACAAACAGCCCTATACATACATTGATCTATCCCTCCCTCTGCTCTTGTTTATAGACCTGGTGTTATCTGCAGCATATCCGGCTTCATCAGTAGCACGTCTTTTTTCTGCTCTGTGGTGAGTGTATGGGACTGAATCAAGAGCAGCAAATTGGATATAAATAAGGGAATAACCATAAAGTGTGAGCCAGGGGTGATAATTGTGGAGATAAGGCTAATGCTGAGTCTGCAGTCTCCACAAATGTAAAATGCATTCAAAAATATAGTTCTCCTTATCATGCTGCTGCCGACCAAATGATTATAAGCACTTTGCAAAAAAAAAAAAAAAAAAAAAAAAAAAAAAAAGGCACAGGTCTTATAGACTACTGTAAAAGCATGTCTCAGCAGTAGAAATACAACTTGAACATTTAATAACAGTAAATTGGGTTCTATCATTGCAGAACTATGACAAATGTTTTGATTATGTTCTACTACAACATGTCCAGTGCCCATTTTACTAGTTATAACTTCTTGCAATCATTCTATAATTATGATTCATGTGAGCCAATGAAATAAAGAAAGATAATGAAAGACATTACTGCACAAATGAATGCCGTCTGCGATCTACAGTTATTGTAATTCCATGTTTTAACAACAGAGGGAGACAAAGTTCTATTTGTGGATTTAGTCTCGGTCTTTTGTAGTGGTGTTTTACGATCCATAAAAATGTGTTCGCAAGTGTCCGAGTGTAAATGCCTCAAACCTCCAATACTAATGCTGCATTAGCTGATCACTGTACAGCCTACGCATACATTTAAACTCTGATTAAAATACGTCAGTCGAATAACATAAGGAGAATAATTCACAAAAATGTATGGCAGCTTTTGTGAGTCAGAAAGAAACACCTTCAGAACATCTTCTGTTAAATTTAATGTTAACCTGATCAGAAGAACCAAAATGACCAAAGATATTGGAGTAATTTAGATAGACATTAAATATTAAATTAAAATTAAATTAAAGACTCAAATATAAAATATATTAAACTAATTGTTTTATACTCATGTAATACACAGTGTAGTCTGCCAGGGTAACGCGAGTTTTACAGCGGAAGTGTTGGAGAACCAGGAACCATAACAGCGGTGAGCGTGACCGCGCGCACAGTCGCCTCTTTCACTGAAAAGCGCAGCGAACTCCCCAGAGGATCCTCACGGAGCCGGGGACACATGGGGGGCTCTCAGAGCGCGGAGTTCCCTGGTGGAGGCACAGAAGGGTACCACGTCCTCAGAGTAAGAATCTTTGTATCTCCCAAGTGTGTGGCATCAGTATCACAGCACCGTGGCGCTGTGGAGGAAACGCACTTACAAGGAGTGCGACTACGATATGATGATGGCAATTTAATAAACTAGTAAATCATAAACAGAATATAAATAATAATCCTGCCGGACATATGCTGTGGTCTCCTTTTCAAACAGTGACGTAGCCTGTATAAAACAATTACCCGTGCTGCTCTGCTCAGAACATGACTTACTTTTACGCACAAGCTCAGATCTTTTTTTTTTTTTTTTTCTTAATTGAGGCTTGTTTTGTCCATCTGATGTCAAACACATGACTACTGATAGCATGGTCGTGGCCTACACTATTATCCACCACCAATGTGTAAATCTACATTCTAACTGGAATAACCGGTGTGCCTGCTTTCACACCTTTGAGTCGCGTCTAGGAATTTTCCCCTGTCACTAACAAGTTTTTTTTTCGTTTTCGTTTAAATTTCCTTTGATAAATAATTTGTTTTAATGTATGCTACAGTATTCCAACATGCATATTTATCTATGGAGTGTCACTGTTCCCAGGTGCATGAGAACTCCCCTGGAAGGAAAGCAGGACTTGAGCCATTCTTTGATTTCATCATCTCTGTTTGTGACATGAGAATGGTAATGCTTGGATGTATTTTTTTATTGTAAGCAGCTGCTCTTTGTATGCCCCACACTCATGTTGTGTTCTGTTCAGAATAAAGATAATGACACCCTGAAGGAGCTGCTGACTGCGCGTGTGGAGAGACCAGTGCAGATGTTGGTGTACAGCAGTAAAACTTTGAGAGTCAGAGAGACCACAGTTACTCCCAGTACAGTGTGGGGAGGCCCGGGCCTGCTCGGGATCACCATCCGCTTCGGCAGGTTTGAGGGGGTCAGTGACAGTGTGTGGCATGTCCTGGAGGTCTATCCAAACTCCCCTGCTGCAGAGGCTGGTCTGAAGAGCAATTCTGACTACATCATAGGAGCAGATACATCTGTGATTGAGGTCAGTCCACTATAGCTGCACATATATAGACATGAGACATTATGGATCATTTAACCTGAGTGTGCTCTTCAAACAGGGTGAGGACCTGTTCTCTCTCATCCTGAAGGGGGAGGGCAAACAGCTAACGCTCTATGTATATAACACTGACAGAGACGACTGTCGGGAGGTGGTCATCACGCCTGACTGTGAGTGGGGTGGAGAGGGCAGGTGAGCCCACAAGCTATGGTCAGATACAGCCTGGATTTATACTACTAATACTGTCATAAAATGGATGTTTCAGGCACACTTAAGAGCCCACTTACCATTTCACTTCAACAAACCATAAATCAGTCACTTTGCTGCATCACTGCTCTGTCTGTTCTGTTTTTTTAGGTTTAACTGACTAAATACACGAGGCATAACTGATACACCTTAAGCTCAGAATACAGCTGCAGCACTCAACACAATGTTTCATTTGATCCTGCATAAAAATAATCAGCTGTTTTTATGGCTGCTGGATGCAGAATGTCCAGCATGTGTCACCATGACTTGAATGTATTATTATTAAGTGTGTATGTGTGTGTGTGTTTGTGTGTAGTTCTTTATATGAATGTTCCTCTGACAACCGCCTGTCTTGTCCTTCTGTGTTGTCTAGCCTAGGTTGTAGCATTGGGTATGGTTACTTGCACAGAATACCTACACATCTTAACAGTATTTCATCAGAGACACCAAGTGAATCCTTACATATACACAAAAATGGCTTCACAGAGGTAATGGTCACACTTCAAAACCGCTTTCTTAAACTGTTATGCAGGTGTGGCTGACATGTGGATGTTTGTCAGGTTCCCCTCTCTGGAGTCATGTCTACTGTTCCTGTCCCTGTCCCTGTCTCTGTCCCAGTCTCTGCAGTGGACCTGCCCCTCACCAGTGTTAGTGTCAGTGCTGAGCCTCCAGCCTCTGTGAAGAGTCCCTCACAGACAGGTGGGCATTTATGGCACATGGAGCTCATAGGTGCATATTACCATTACGATTACTCTGTCACCTAAAACATTCTGATTACAGATATTCCTACAGTCTTGATATCAAACCATGCTCCTTTATCGGATAGCCATGCTCCCCAACTACCCGGTTGGTAGATTTGTTATTTTTCTTTGTAACATTTGTGTAGACTTTGAATTTTAACTGTGTTTAGTTTGAGTCAGATCAAATGTCATTATAGTCATCTAATATATCACACCTAAATGCATATTATGAAAGTACCTGTATTTCAGGGATATCTAATATGTACAAAAAAATAATTTTCTTCTTTTACACTTTTCTATTCCACAGATCTTTCTCCTCCTGACCAGTGCTCCAGTGTGACGCCCGAGGTCACGTCTAACGTCAGTCATAAAGGCTCAGTAAATATCAACATGTCTATGGGCCTTTAGTAATGGAAATGCAAAACTAAATTCCTCTGCTTTGAAGATCACAACTGCTAAGTGTTACAGAGCAACTCTTATAGGAGTTGGTGGCAGTTTGACATTTTTGTATACGGCTTAGTGTAAATTAAGCAGTGATGTTTAATATCTTTATAGTATACTATGCAACTTGTTACAATATGGAAAGTTTACAATTTTTTTTACAATTATACTACAAATAAAATGTATTGTTGAAATTAATTAATCCTTTTACTCTGATCAGATTGTCACCTTTCCTTACAATGAGCCACAATTATGAGGTAACACCACACCCCTCCTTTCTTCAATCCTAATTTATCTGTTTTTTTTTTAAACTGTAGCCTAAATTGGTTCTGAATGCATTTTCTGAATGCTAAATCTTTGTGTAGATATTTGATCTGCAATACCCAACGTAACCATTGAGTGTCAGTAAAATAAAACTAAACTTTTATAATTTTCAACAATAACATCAATCACATGACCACTAGCGCAGAGTTTCCTGGCATTTTATTCACTCTTAGCGGACCTGTACAATTTGTACCCGAAGTGGAACATACAGCCCTTGAAAAAGTAAGAGCAAAGCAGCAAATTAAACCACCCCAGGACCTGACTGAGAGGGGCAGATCTCCACTTAATACACATTACTGCTGCAATTTTTATCTGAAAATTCACCTGTACAGCATATACAGTTTCCAATTTATTTGATAATTATTATTCCTGCATAGGATTTTGTACATAGCAATTTTCTACATTTGGTTACTTTGTGCATTTATTGTTAAGTATGCAGCCCCATCTACATTTGTATGCTACACATTACATTCTCATGGCTAACTCAAATTAAAGCCTAGACATTTGTGAACACAAATTTAAAACCTTGGTAGTTCTACGTGAAGATGACAGTTTTCTCACAGTAAATTAACTTCTAGCAGCTCAATATCATTTGCACTCTGGGCCAGACAGTGTTCATATTTTGTCACTTTTAACACTGGACCGCCAAGTCTCCCTTCGGCCCTTTAAGGCTTTCTCCATCTGAAATGTCTCAACAGTCGCGTATTCTTCATGGTACAACTTCAGTGCTTGTGTCAGACCATTAAGAAGGTCTCCATGTTCATCAAGTGTCCTCTCCTTTGATCGAGCCTTGGTAAACAATAACAAGCCCGGCACAGGTCTGAGAAGACCCACCCTTCTTCTCCCACTGTTGGCTGTTGGTTCCCCCTTTAGGTCCGTCTGGCTTTGGGGTTCAGTAGGAGATGATGCTGGAGGGAGCAGGAGCTGACATGGCAGCATTCACGTGCAGGTTTCCGGATGAGCTGGACCTCCTCATGTGGGGGAGCAGGTATGGATCGCTCCCCAACTGGTGCACATCGATGCGGTCCTCCTTCCTGTACGCCAAGCACCGTCTGATGAAAGCCTACGGGGGAAGGGGGGGCTTAGTGAGTGGGCTTTGGTTTAAAATGAAGTATAAATTAATATGATGTACCTTAGCTTCATTACTGGAAACAGGTTTGACAGGAAACTGTACATCTGTTGCTTTCAGGATGGTGTTTTCTTGAAGGATATCCTGTTGCGACTGATTGTGGCCAAAAGGCTAGGAAAAAAACAACAACAAAAAAACGTAAAACTCTAAAAGACCCTATACTTCTTTCCCATGTATTTAAGCAATATTGCCCTATTGCAGATATATTGTATAAGCAGCTCTTGAGGTCAAAATAAGTCAGCTGCATGGTGTCTGCATCTACTTATAAAGTGTTTTGTTGTTAAACAATCATGAAGTGTATGATGTGAGGAATAACTTTGGACCACTGTAAACAATTTAAAATGAACTAGTTCTGTTTTTCACTTTTGTAAAGACAACATAAGTTGATATGTCTAAAGGTTCAGAAGTGTTTTTCATTTTGGTGTTCACTTAGTTTTAAGGTTTCCGTTAGGTTTTGTTACCATTATCAACTATAAGAAATACAAATCTCATTAGATTGACTTTGTGTATTGTAAATATACCACTTCAATTAATTTTATGTTTTACCTTCCTTCCATAAAGACACTGGAAAAAGATGACACCCACAGACCACACGTCCACCTTATTGGAAATCTTTGGCGGCTCTTTACCAACCACAAAACACTCAGGAGGCAGATACCTGGAATATTATGATTAATAAGGTTAATTAGAATGTAATCATTTTAAAATCATGTAATAAGGCTTTAAACATTTACCAGTATGTCCCTGCTCCCTGTGATGTCAGGTCCATCCCATCTACACCATAGTTGTCGTCATCCATGATTTTTGACAAACCAAAATCTGTAATTTTTATCTCTCCACAAGCTGTACCATCCACCAACAAGATATTGCCTGCATTAGAAAAACATGTCAGTTTGATTTGTCTTATAAATACATTGAAATGCATAAATTCACAAATATTTCTGAACAGTATTACCTGGTTTGAGGTCATAATGGATGATCGGTGGCTTGATTTCATTCAGATATTTAAGTGCATTCACAATTTGCATTACTATGGATCGGGCTTCCTTCTCAGACATTAGCTTATGTTGTTTCAAGTAGAAATCCAAGTCATTGCCTTCGCAGTACTCCATAACGGTGCAAAACCTACACAAACAAATATTAAAGGGCCCATATTACGCTATTTTCTGACCTATATTATAACGTTTCCTCGTCAAAAAAGTAACTGAAGTTGTCTTTTGTTTCATTCACACAATTAACATACATATTTAGGCTGAGTTCTCTGAAAATGAAAACAGTCATACAGTAAGTGCTCCACTGTATTTTTAAACTCTATACACCTTCACTAGAATCATTTGGTTAATTTCAGCCCTGGAGTTACTTATCTTGACTAAACAAAAAGGTAAAAGGTAGCTGTTAACTTGAAAACTACCACTACATAACAAGTGGTACAGAACATTTTGAGCTCACAAGAGTCAGGATATTGATTTGGTACAAGTTTTAAAAAGAAGGTAGTGGCGAAGTACTTACGTGTCTGTGTCCAGTGAAAAGTAGTCATAAAGTTTGACGATGCGGGGATGGTCCAGCTCCTTGTGTATTCTGTACTCTCGACATGCGTGCCTGTGGAGAGGGAGGTAATTACGCTTTGATTAGCTTCCCGAGCAGGAGGGTGCAGGTGCTGTATGCAGAGCCAATAGTGAACCATTCAAGCTTATGGAGAAAAACAACAATCCACCTGCAGCTATGTGCACCGGAGCAGCAAATCCATTACAACGTATAAAACAGCAATTATATACAGCAGATGAGACAGGGTTTAGAAATGACTTTGGTCCCACATACTTGTGATAGTTCTCCTTCTTCTCCTCGCGCCAGTTCTTGTTAAGTTGGTGGATTTTCACAGCAGCATACCGTTGCTCAATCAAGTCGAAAGCCTGCGTCAAACCAAAAAAGGAGGCTGATTACTGCAGGGCCTTCAAAGTTGGTCATTATGAATCATGGGAACATTTACTTGCCTTGTAAACTTCACTGAAACCTCCTCTACCTAAAAGATGTAGGAGCAGGTATCGCTCATTCAGCGTTGGGTGGTCTTTAAATCTGTGAACAGACAAATGGAACATGAACGACGACAGTTTCTCAATGCACAGTCAAATCACAAATGAACATTTTAGTGAGCAAGATTATTAATCCATAATTTAAGAAAAGATAATAATCAAAGTAATGAAATAGCAATGCAGTGTAGTGTTTTGTAGACAGTTTTCTATCAAAACCAGCATTCACAGCTGATCAATGGAGGAAATCACAAGAGTATCATCTATAAAAATATGGATCTTTTCAAAGTTTTTTTGTTCTTGAATTCTTATCACTCATTTTATTTTATTTTGTATTAAAAAATAAAATGTACTCCTGAGTATTTAGGCATTAACCATAACATGCCTTAATAATGATTTTACATTTTTTTTTACTTGTAAATTGTAATATTGATCCAAGAGAGGTTGATAACAGAAACTGAGATGTTCAACATCTGTAATTTCAGAGCATGGAGAGTAGAGAATTTAAAAAAAAATGTTTAATTGTTTTTATTAAATTTTTATTGTTCTGAAAGCGCTTGTATGACTGAGAGTAAGTTTTTGAATACAGAGTAGTGGGGAATAATAAAGGATGGATGAAATACGATATTATATGATATTTCTTCAACAGTCCAAGAGAAAGTAAAGTGGCAAAGGTTCCAGCTGATCTGAATAGTGGGAATTTTTAGACCTTCACAAAGTAAAGTACATCATTATTCAGTATCACCCGTCAGTGTAGCCGTTGACCTCATGTACGCATCTAGTCTCAATGTCAGTGCAGTAACTGTCAAAGACGTGGACTGAGACTTACTGTGAACTATCTTCATTATTTATTCTCTTCAGCTCCCGAATGTGAAGGTTGCGGACTCTCTCCAGACGTTCGAGCTCCGCCTGGATCTCAGCTTCTTCCTATAAATGATTCAGATGCACAAACACACAAACTCAGAGAGGAGCTTCAGAGCAGCCACTACAAGGAGAGTGGATCATCAAAACCACTAGTACACAGCTGACTAGTCCCACATTAAATATTCATGCTCGTCTTGGTGCAGAGTTTGTCAGGTTGGCCTACTCATCTAAAAAAAACAAAAAAAACAATGGGAAGACAGACGAAGGACAGGCCAATCTTGCTCAATTCACAACAAAGGTCTCGCAAGGCACTATGTTTGATAATGTGTAATTAAAGCTGTACTACGTAACTTTTCGGTTGGGGGCTTGTCACCTGCTTGCTTCTATGGATATGCCATTGTTCTGTTTCGATTGTTCCACAGTATGACATTAAACAGCTCTACCTTACATGTATTCAGGTGGTTTTATTGCTCAAAAATGCCTACAAAAACAGACATTCTGACTGAGCGGGGTTGCCTCTCCACAGATCTGACCAGTAACTTAGCCTGGTTTGATCTCCATGAAGATAGAAAGTAGTTCAAGCATTAACTCTTCATTAACTCTTTAATAATGTCCGCAAAGAAAAACATGACAAACCTTTTTGAGATGTCCAAGCCGTAGTTTGTAGATCTCTTCCTGTTCGTGGTACTCTGCTAGTGTCAGCCTTTGTAGGAAACAGGACAAAATTGAAAACTGTTGCGATTATAAAACTGTAATAATAAATATAGTCGTGGGTTTGGCTTACAGCTGAGGTAGGCTGGGTTTTACAAAGGGATCATTCTCTGCTCCATTCACTGCCTTGGTTTTGCGTTGCT